TATATATATATATATCAGAATTTTAAACCCTAAAGAGGGAAAAAATGTTGATTAGTACAGTCTTCGTAAAGATGCATGAACCCTTGTTTACTGTTAAATAGAGTTTTATTCTTTTAATTTTTTAATTTAAAATTAATTTTTAAAAGAACTATTGGTCCACGCGTACGTTAACACTCCGTGCGTTTCGTACTCAAATTTTTCTTACGAAACAGCACCACTTGTTAAAAAAATTCAAAAATCCTATAATTAAATAAAAAATAATGACTATTTAATTTCCGCATTATATTTGTTTTTTTTTAATTATTTCAAAATCATTTCAACATAATTATATTAGTTTCTAAAATTAGCCATCATCATAGAAAAGTAAAACTATAAAAAAGAACTGCATTTGGACAAGAAAATTTTCACACTTCTATTTTAGTATGTAATACATAGGTTAAATAATATATTTAAATATATAAATTATATTTAAAATTTGTATAAATTATTATTTTTATACATATAAATTATATATTTTTTGATAATAATATATAATTTATATTTTAGATTTATGATAAATAATTTATATTGTAGCATAATATTATTTTTTAAATATTATTTATATACTTTAAAATGACCATTAGAGTCAAAATAGTGACTTTAAATTTTAGAAGATGAAAATTAAAGAAAGATACTTTACATAGAGCAAAATTAATTTTTACTCATTTTATGTAAATAAAAAATATTATTTATAAATTTTAAAAAAATAAAAAATAAGTTTTTTACAAGAATCAAAATTAAAATTTATTCATTTTGTACTAATTAAAAATAAAATTTGAATATATTATAAATTTTTTAAAAATATATATAAAAAATATAATATTAAATAATAATTTACAATATATATAATATTAATTTATATAGTAACATATAAATAATACTATATTATAATATGAATGTAAATTTATATAATATATATTATAAAATTTACATTAAACATTTTATCTTATACATACAGTAATCTGGACATGTAAATTTAAAAGTATATTATTAACTAAAATATTCGAATAAAAGTTATATTGAATAGGTTTAAAAAAAAATCTGAATAATAAATATAATTTTGTGAAAAGTAACTACATAAATAAAAAATACTTTTATGTAATATAGTTAAAATTATATTTTAAATTTAAAAATTTTAAATAATTAAGTTAAAACTTATTTTTAAAAAAATTATATATAATTTTAGTGAAACAAAGTTTTTGTTATTTAAAATTTTTTTATATCTCATCTTACTGATTTATATTAAATATAAAATATATAATATAATAATATTTACTTGATTTGTTATTCAGATGAATCAAATATTAGATAAATTTTAAATTTGTTTTACTTTTATCATATTTTAATTTTATCCTATCATACTCTCACACCATATTTTATCATATCCGGACTATTGAACAAACCTTTAATAAAATCAGAAATGATGAATAAACACATTATATAGCTCTTTTTTCTTTGACATTATTTCTTTCTAAACACTAACTAAAAAATTAATCTTTAAAATATTAAAGATTAACTTTAGAAAAATTATATAAATTATTGATAAATTTAATATTATTAAATAAATTAAATGAATTAATTCTCTTAAAGAATATAATTTAATGTTTATTAATCATAATTGTAATAAATAATATAAATTAAATTACACTATTAATTAGTCACAACAATTATTTATAATGAATTTATTAAGAACCAGTTCAATAGAAAAAAGTTATATCTTTTTAGTAAACAAAAAATAATAATAAATCTATTAAATTTTATATTAATTATCTTAAAAGATATATTTATATGATTTTGTTTATTTACACTAAGAATATGATCATTAAACATTAAACTCATAATTTATTTAGTATTACTTTTGTTACTATTTATAAAATTCAACTTATATTGTTTCATATATTAATTATTTTTAGATTAAAATACTATTAATTAAAAATATTCTCTTAATTTAATGAAATATATTAAATATAAATATTTTATGAAATACACTTTAATTGATTAAGAAAAAAATAAATATTAATTATAATAAAAAAAATAGTCTAAAATATGTACTCTAATTAATTAGAAGATATAAAATGATTAATTAAAAAAAGTGAATAGTATAAATAATTTTAAAAATATATAAATAAAATAAATTATTATTATTAACTAATTTTTTTTTTTAATTTCAGGGAATTAGGCAACTGGATTTTCAATTCATTTTTGGTATAATACTTTCCCGTGCATGCATTAATTTATTTTTCTCAGTTTTTGATTAAATTTGATCTTATCCGTTATCACAGGCAGGGAATTTTGACAATTTAGGTGGCAAATGAGAGGAAAAAAAGGAACCACAAATGAAATAAAATCCAAAATGAAAGTAAAAGATTGTTTCCACTCTCCACTTGCACTTCCATTCGCTTTCTCTTTCTTCTTCATCTGGTGGATCCTTACACAGCATCGCACAGGTGACTCTCTCATCACTACTCAACTGTTACATATTTTTCTCATGCTTCCCTTTTCTTACTCTCTATCCCTTCAATTTAACCACAATATGTTTCACTTACATTCAAATTAAACATTGCACAAACCAGATCCCTCTGCCTAGGGTTTAGATCTGGTTTTGCATCCCAATGTATGAGTACAAATAGCAAAATGTTTCCAACATTTTTTTTCCATGTCAACGGCAAAGTGGCGTTCTGTATCCCTACTTCTCTGGTTTATTAGAAATTACATGAGCCTAATATGATCTGTAAAGTTTCTAAACTTTCTTATGTTAGTTTCGTGAACAGTAAACTGATATATAGCTAATTGCATCATGAAGGAGTAGAAAAATTATGAGTTCCCAAGGTATTGTTGAAGACTGCCTAGGATGGGCAGCAAGAGATGCATCCGGAGTTCTCTCACCTTACAAATTCAGTCGCAGGTGTGTATGCACCTCTCATATTCCACTTAATATAATGGGCTAATGGAGTATCTGTTTTCTGTAAATGACCATATTCCTTTTTCACGGCGATCCAACTTCCAAAACTTACTAGTTATTGCAGTTCCTAGTTTGATTCTACATATTGATATCGATTTATTCATATATTTATTTTTAGAGATAACTTAGATACTGTAACATATGTATCGTTGATGTTGTTGTCTACTAATTTTACCACGGTAATATGGGTTCACAGTTAATAGAATCACTTATTCCGTATATTATTAAAATAAATCTCCAATTCCCGGACAATAATAATATTAACAGTGCATAAGGTACTGGAACTAAGTTTTCTCCTATATATTTTTGTTATCCATTTTGGTCTTTTCTTGGAATAAAAGTCGACCTTTTTCCTGCCCCCTAATTTTCATGACCAATTCGATGATGATGATGATGATTGCTCAGGACTCTTGGGAACGAAGATGTTTATATTAAAATTACGCATTGCGGTGTTTGCTATGCTGATGTAGCTTGGACGCGGAATAAACTCGGTGACTCAAAGTACCCCGTTGTGCCTGGGTATGTGGGCTTATTTTTCTGCATGGATGAGAAATTGAGAATCCTATATACTTGAGCTAATAATCTATCTTTGGTTCAGTCATGAGATTGCTGGCATTGTGACAAAAGTTGGCTCCAATGTCCACCGTTTCAATGTTGGTGACCATGTTGGAGTGGGGACTTATGTCAACTCATGTAGGGATTGTGAATATTGTAATGACAGGCTAGAAGTTCATTGTACCAAAGGATCAATTTACACTTTTAATGGTGTTGATTTTGATGGTACAATTACAAAAGGAGGATACTCAAGTTACATAGTAGTCCATGAGAGGTAAACATATTGTAAACCATGATTTTTATGTGCCCTTTTCTTCCTTCGTTTTATCATAAGCTCTAAAAGTACATTTGATTTCATATTGAGGGCCTGTTTGAATAAATTTCTCTAAAAGTACTATTGTGAGGAAACAATAAGAAGAAAAAATTAAATAAGCTTTTCTATAATTTACGACTACTTTATACATAAACAAATTTGTGATGTTTTAGAAAAGTTAGATGATAGCTTTTACAAATTAATTTATGCATAAATTTATTTTGACTTATGGGGAATCTTATTTCATTATTTCTTCCTATTTTTTCCTCCTATTAGGTTTAGTTTGGATAAATTTCTTCACAAGCACTCAAAAATAAATAGGAAGAAAAAATTGAAATAATCTTCTCCATAAGCTCAAACTAGCTTATGCACAAGTTAAAAATAAGATTTTGAAAGAGTTAATAAGAGAGAACTTCTACAAATTACTTTGGGCATAAGTTAATTCCAGCTTATGGAGAAATTTATTTCATTTTACTTATTATTTTTCTCTTCCAAAAGTGATGTTGAAGAAGTTTACCTGAACAGGTCCTGAGAAAGGGTATAAGTTATAACTCCAGTCCATATCATATTTAATCTTTCATCTGCAGGTATTGCTTCATAATCCCAAAAAGCTATCCATTGGCTTCAGCAGCTCCTTTGCTGTGTGCTGGAATTACTGTTTATTCACCGATGGTGCGCCACAAGATGAATCAACCTGGTAAATCCCTAGGAGTGATTGGTCTTGGTGGCCTCGGTCATATGGCAGTGAAATTTGGAAAGGCATTTGGTTTGAATGTAACAGTTTTTAGCACTAGCATATCCAAGAAAGAGGAGGCACTGAGCCTACTTGGTGCGGACAAATTTGTTGTTTCATCTAATCAAGAGGAAATGAAGGTAAGCATAGCATGAAGCATCTACTATATAACATTTTCTCCTGAACTTGAACAGAACACTGATATTGACAGACTCGAGCTTCTTTTTGTCAAATCTGATGGTGATTTCCGTACAGGCATTGGCTAAGTCGTTGGACTTCATAATTGACACAGCATCTGGTGATCACCCGTTTGATCCTTATATGTCACTATTGAAGACATATGGTGTTTTTGTCGTCGTTGGTTTCCCTAGCGAAATCAAATTCATGCCTGCAAACCTTATTTTAGGTACGTTGTTTTTGAAGCATTGGAATTGTCAGTTTTCATTCGTGTAATTCTATTCATTGAAGCAGTGGAACTGTAAATATGCATTTTCTGTTTGACAGGATCGAAGACTGTTGCCGGAAGCGTTACAGGTGGTACAAAAGATATACAAGAGATGATTGACTTTTGTGCTGCAAAGGGTATTTACCCAAATATAGAGGTGATTCCAATCGAGTATGCCAATGAAGCTCTTGACAGGCTCATAAATAAGGATGTCAAATATCGGTTTGTAATAGATATTGAGAACAGTCTCTAATTAGATTGTAACGAGAGGCTCATAAATGTTCTTCAATTAATTAATTATATAAATGTTTTAGATTATTAGCAACTGAAAAAGTCAGTCTCTGATTACATTTAAATTTTTAATGGCTATTGATACTCATTAGAGTTCCTTCAAGATTGAAGTAGTAAAAAGTCTCTTCTACTTACCAAATATTTTTGTCTCTATTTATTGATTTTCTTGTATTTTTTTTTTTAAATAGTATGTTATTTATATAGGTTCAACTACGATTCATAGATTCTCTCATCAGTGTTTCTTTATATCTTAATTTGCTCCCTTATAATATTAAAAAAAATTAATTTAGTTTCATTTTAGTTTTTTTGTTTCAATTTAGTTCTAATTTATTTTAAAATATTTCAAATTGGGACTTCCGTCCAAATTTTACAAATGGTGTTAAATCTTGACTATGTGGATGTTAACTAGATGCATACGTGGAATGATCATGTTAGATTTTCTTCTTCTTCTTTAATAGTCTGATGTCTATGTTTTTATTCTCCTCCTCCTCCTCCTTTTGGTTGTTGTGTGAACTTTTGATACTGTTCTGTGGTCCCAAAGAATATATGTTGTTGTGCATATATTGACCACGTATATATGCATATGTTAAAACAACATCCTATTATATTAAAGAGACATTCTTCTGAAGATACTTAAGAAACTTGAAAAGGAAAGTAATTTCAGTAAATGGTAGATACTAAGGTATATTTGTCACAATTTTAACTGCTTAAATTAACCAAATTTTTGTTTATAATTAATTCTTGCAAACCCAAATTGGTTCCCTAGTTTGACACCACAAAATCCCACCAACCCAGAACCCCAAAAACCAAACAAAAACGAAAATCAAACCCTAAACCAAAAAGCCAAACACAAAACCAAAAACCCTAAATCGTTCCCCAAGCCCACTCGAAGCCCTAGCCTCAAACTCACCCCTAATAAGACACTTCAATCAAACACGAAATGAACACTTACCTTGATGTCAATACGACAAAAATGTCATTTCTTCTTTTTCAACATGAACGAACAAGCCTTCTTCTTTCGAGGCCTAAAAACGTGCAGGACTAAGGTGAATGGTGCGCCTTCTTCTTCCAACAACTAACTCCCAAGCACTCATGAATGTCCTTCTCGCGAATTTGGAAAGGAATGCTTTGCTCCATGTTGGAAATCCACGTTCGAAAATAATTGGATTGTTACAAATTTATTTATTTTCCATGTGAACACTCTTAAACACGTTTAAAAAATTTAGATGGAAGGTTAACATTGCAACACTTTTTTTAAAATTGGGACTAAATTGAAACAAAAAATTAAAGTGAGATCAAATTAAAACTTTTTAATATTATAAAGGAACAAATTAGGATTTTAGCCAATACTCATTAACACTCATTATTTATTTTTATTTTTCTTTCTTCATGATATATCATATATACGTTTCTCTATCTTTTTTTTATCAATATGAATTTTTTATTTAATACTTTTTCAATTTTAAAATTGATTTATAGTTTAAAAGTAATTTTTAGGTTTTAAAAATATAGTGTCAACCTTTTATAAACTTTTTTTTTATACATAAAATGTTAGATAGAGGTTGAACACTCTCATAATTATCGAACAGAAAATCAATGACATGATAAGAATTTTTAAACTAAACATCATTCTTCACTTAGTGATTAATTGAAGTTCAATAAAATTTAATTTAACCTAAGATTTTACTTGTTGAAAGTCAACAAAGACGCATAAGAGAAGTTTTACCTCTTACATCAAATAATCTCTTTGAATTTTAAAATATACTAGTTTTTGGTTTAAAAATAAATCAATTTTAAAATTGATTTATGGATTAAAATTGATTTTAAAACCAACTCAATTTTAAAACCGATTTGAACAAAAAACCAATTTAAATCTGTTTATAAAAAATTCAAATTGATTTTTGTGAATTTTCAATCCTTTCAAACCATGCGAGAGCTATTATTTATGTTTTTTTTACCATCAGAAATATAATATCGACGACTACAAAATTTGAACTTAAAATTTTGTATATTCTAAAATTTGAATATACATTTAGCATCATTATGTTTAAAATTTAAAATCCTTTTTCTGAATCACTTTTCGTTTGCCAAAGATCATGTTGAATTACTTCCAAAAAGGATAGTTTTTTAATTTTTTTTTTCTATCTCTAGCTATTTCTAAGTATCGTGTTAATAATATGTATTTTTTTTCAAACATTAACATCAAAATAAAAATTTTTGCTTTAAAATTTGTTTAAAATCTCATTTTTAGGCTTAAAATTAATTTCAGACAAAAAAAATTGTTTTAAAACTAGATTAAAAAATCAGTATTATAAGTTTGTACAATGCACAAATTAAATATTTATTATATATGACTAAATTTTAAAATCAATTATATTTATAAATAAATATTGTATTTAAATATAAAAATTGTAATTAAAATTTGAACAAATAGATATTTTTAAATATATAAATTATATTTCATATGTATGATAAATAATTTATATTATAATACAAAATTATTATTATTTATTGATATTTTATTTTAAAAATATTAGAATTTAATTCATAAATTATTTAAATAAATAAAAAATAAATTAAATATAAAATTCAAAGAATTCTTAAAAAAGAAAAACTCTTTACAATACTGTGTCTATTTTATATATTGGGGTTTAGTTTAAAGTTGGATTTCTATTTCAAACTTGTTTTGAATAAGATTTTGACTTAAACTTGTTTTTTTTTTTTTTTTATAAGCAAAATAAATTAATGGGAGTACAAGGGGTACCCCAACCCATTACAAAATACAAAGTTACCTAAACAAAATTCAACGTAATCCATACAAAAGGTAATCACCTGAATGTAATGTCTACCACCATTACAAAACTAGGACCATAAAATGTCATCTAATAATCAAACAAGTTCAGTAATCAGAAAATCAGATACAAAACTAACACCCTGATGTGTACAGAATTAGAAAGAATCATTATTCCAGAAGTTAAGGCAAACACCAGGGGAAGAAAACCACGCTGAGAATGGGTAAAAAAATGACTTATCTTTGGTCTTAATCCAGTTCCAGTTACGTAGTTTGATTAATTCCACTAAATCCTTAATTGTCACCACCTTGTCTTTAAAAATGACATCATTTCTAGCAAGCCACAGAGACCAAATTGTGGCTAACCAAACCACAGACCACCTCATCCTATCTCTACCACTGCATCTAGGAAATCCAATAAAATGAGCAAAATTTTCATGACAGGAGTTGTGTAAAACAGTTGAAACACCAAATCAAGCAAAAATAGATAACCATACAGAATAGGCATAATAACATCCGAATAATAGGTGAGAGGTATTCTCCAAATCTTCACCACACCAAACACATCCACTAGCAGAAATATTAAGAACCTTCCGCTTAATTAAGTTACATTTACTTGGTATCCTATTCAGCAAGGCTTTCCAAGCAAAACCTGATACTTTAGAAGGTACACAACTAGACCAGAGAAATTTATGAAGCGGAAAATCTGCGTAGATACCATCATTAATCACCGCCTTGTATGCTGATTTCACATTATATATCCCATCATTAGAATCCTTCCAACACCACCTATCACAACAATCATTCTTTAAGACAGTTGATCCTAAATCAACAGCTAATTGTGATAATAAATCTAATTTCCATTGAAATAGACTCCTACGCTAAGACCAAATCCACTCAAAACCTCCATCCCTCCAAAGCACCATGTTTGCGACCGATACATCCTTGTCAGAAGCTATAGAGAACAATCTACTATATCGATTACAAAGAGGTCCCTGACCACTCCAACCATCCTTCCAAAAAAAGGTATTTCGACCATCCCCCACCACCTTGGTACACCTAGAAGAGAACCAATCAAATGATGTGTATGGAGCAGAATCAATGGTCCACAGATCACCCCACCACTTTGAACTTTGTACTTTATCACCAACTCCCTGAAAACAACCCTCCCCATAAATAAAAGTGACAACCCTATGCCAAAACCTACCCTTTTCAACTAACAGCCGCCATCTCCACTTTCCAAGGAGAGCAAGGTTAAATGCTCTAAGGTCTAGAATTCCTAACCCACCATGTTCCTTTCCCCTAATTGGATTTTGGTTTGAAACTGGTTTAAGATACAAAATAGTTTTAAAACTGGGTTTGAACAAAAACTAATTTTAAAAATTCACGTTGTTTAATATTTTTTTGGTTTCATCGGTGTTCTAAGGTCCACGTTGTTTAATATAGATTTGAATTTAAAATCCTATCTACTTATTTAGATATTGAGAGAATATGAATTAAACTTTTAAAAATCTAATCAATGCCCTTTCTTCTCATCTAACACTCAACTCCAATATTTTTCTTGCCCGGGTAATTTAAGGGTAATTTAAGGATAGATGATTTTTTAGAAAAAGTATGAATGATTACAAAATACATAAAAAATCTTATGTTAATTTATGAGATTAGTTGTTGATCCTAAAAATGAAAAGAGATCTTATAAAAGGGTTACTCACATAGAGTTTTGATCAGTGAAGGATTATAATCAACGAGATATTATATAAAGTGTTATCATGTAAAACGTTGTAGAGTGAAGTTGCTAAAATATTACAATTTATAGGGAAGTGTTATCTGAAAAGTATTACATTATCAACATTTTATAACCTCTTTTTGATACATAAAATGGTAGATAGAGTTTGACCTATGATTTTACTTGTTAAATTAAAGATGAGTAGAGACGCATTAGAGAAAATTCATCTCTAACATTAAGGGGTCTACTTGAGTTTAAAAATAAACTAGTTTCCAATTTAAAAATCAAACTAATTTCAAAATTAATTTATGGATTAAAATTAATTTTAAAACCAACTCAATTTTAAAATAGATTTGAACCAAATTTTTTTTTATAAATATGTTTATAAAATAATCAAATTGATTTTTGTCAATTTCCAATTCTTTCAAATGGTGTGAGAGTTATTAATTATATATTTTTTACCATTGAAATTATAATAACATCAAAATGTGAATTTAAAACCTTTTGCATTCTAACATTTGAATATGCATTTAGCATATATCTAAAATCTAAAACCCCTTTCTTGGATATTTTTTCTTTGCCAAAAATCATGTTTAATCACTTCCAAAAGAAAAATAGGTTTTTATTTTATTTTATTTTATCCCTAGCTATTTTTACGTTAATCAATTCTTTTTTCAAACATTAACGTCAAAACAACAATTTTTGCTTTAAAATTTGTTTAAAGTCTCATTTTTTAGGCTTAAAATTGGTTTCAAACAAAAAATTGGTTTTAAAACTAGTTTAAAAAAATCAGTATTTTAAGTCTATACAATGTACAAATTAAATATTTATTACACATAACTAAATTTTAAAATAAATTATGTATATAAATAAATATAATATTTAAATATATAAATTATAATTAAAATTTGAACAAATAGATATCTTTAAATATATATATATATATATATTATTTCATATTTATGATAAGTGATTTATATTAT